GTGATAGTTGGTCTCCTCGTTCACCTGCTCTATCAACTGATCACCGCCGAAGGGGTAGTTAATGTTATGTTGGATAGTTATCAAGAGGACTATAAATATATGTCAATAGTATTCTCCAAGGGGAACTCAACGTACTTCTTGTATACACTTCTCGTTTACCTCAATCAATGCATAAATTCTCGTTTTTTTTAACTTTTCAGCAATATGCCTCTTACAAACTATCACTTAAATTGACAAAAATCGACATAGTCATTTTTTGACATCAACAAATATCAAAACGAATTTAATTGAGATAGTATTTGAAGTTTTCGTATGATATTTTAAATACAATATCAAAAATAACAACAGATTATCTTCTCTCATCTAAAGAATTATCATCATCTTGTCATATCAATAATGCGTATCCTTCCTCTAAAATGAAAAGCAGTATATATTAGATTTAGGTTATAAAAGATCAATTCACATTTGGTAGGGAAGGCCTATAATTTATTACTTGAAGAAAGAAAGATATATTTAATATTTATATTTTATAACGGGGCAGGGCCCCACGTGTATCGGATTTGTCGAATTTTTTTGTCATCCCTAATTTATAATTTACTAATCGAAGAAAGATGTAATTATAGATGAATTGCTGCATAAATATACTTGTAAAACACGTTTTCATTAGAACGAGTTAAAACATTATCTAGCATTTGCTATCTGCCAATCATTTTTTATGAAGAAACAGACGTCTTCAATTTAAGCTTAAATAATAAAGAGAAATTAAATTATTATATAGTCCCATCAAAAAAAAAAAAAAAATTAATATTGCATACGAAACATAAGGTATGAATTCTATATATAACATCATCAACATCTAGCATACCTGTTTTCCTATGTGGAATTTGACAGTCGACGTCAATCCACATTGGCTAAGAAGAAATATCAATGACAATGATGCTTCTACTAGACATTCCAACACACGGACCTCTCTTTCTTATTCTTCTACCACGCTATCAATTAAACAGGAAAAAAAAATTCAAAGTTCCTCAAATTTCTTCACAAGCAGGAGAAATGTGTGGATTTTTCAACTAACTTGCAAAAATATCGGAAAATTTTAGTTTACGAGTTATGCAATGCTTCTAGGACAATAACAATCCGGTGAACAAAGTGAGCACGGGTAAAATCGCGGAGGATCATGGTGGAAATCAATAACAAATTCATAACATCGCCTATTGAAATGTCTCAAATTTTGCATAAAGTTTTCCTATTTCAGCCACAATAATAGCAAACCAAATTGTGCCGACTTAGAGTTCTGTGTTTCTGTATTCATCGCCAGCCTTTTGGGGATCACTGTACACATAAAAGTTGTTAAACATGGAGTTAGTTCTTTATTATTGACAATTTGCCAAACCTTAAAATGTCATACAAGAACGCGGAACACTGCTTAATGGATTATGATCAGAAAAATAATAAAAATAAATTAATCAGTATACAACATCTCCTTCCTTGCCAACAATTTTCCCTTTCAGGTCAAAGCAGAATTCTTTTGAGTTCAGAAATTATGGTTTATAGTTGAGATTACCTTGTCCGCTTACAATATCTGCCGAGGTCTTGACATAAAACCTTGCCTACTTCGCCAACTTTAACATGCCCTTTCTTTATCAATTCTGAAAACTGTTTCAACAAATAACAAGGCCTATGTTAGTAATACTTGCTTTGAAAACAAAAAAAAGGACCGAAAGTCAGGAAACGATTTACCTCATCTTCAGTTTCTTCAAGTAACCTAGCCATATAGAAAAAAAAAGGTTACGATACAATTCATTTGGTGAATTCCGGGGGACATTAAAAGCAATAATCACAATAATGCCACGACAAGCTAAATTATTCCACTTCTCACCTTCCACAAAAAGTTGAGATATCTTTCGAATGTGCCCGCGCTTCTTGTTTATCTATCAAAAGAATTTTAGAAGGGGAATGGTGGATCATCAGAAAATCCTCAAAACCTAAATAATTTCTTCAGATGACAGAAATCGAAGTAAAGTGTAATGGAATATATAAACAACATTTCCAAATTTCCATCATATATTTTAGGAAAACTGCACAGACCATTAGAATATGAGAAACCTAACAGGAAAACCATACCACTTATTGATATGAGCCAACAATGGAAATGGAGACACTAAACTAATATTACTCTTTTCTTAATATACATATTCCCCCTTTTTTATGTAGTTTATCTAAGACAACCTAGGCAAGATCAGGTGAGGTTTAAGACGTAGTCTTTGTCCATCCGTTGAATTCGAAGCAACATTCCAGTCATTTTTGAATATCGAGTTGTGTACTAATCTTCAAATGGAAAAATACTAGAAGTTTGGTTCATAACAGTTAAAGCTATTACCTCATATGAACTCTTCATGAAAAGAACAAAGGCTACTCTACTCAAAAAAAAAATCTTTTGTGGTTTGTCCTTTATAATGTAAACTTCGTCTAGTTATAGCACAGAAGCCAAGAAGCACCATTTAGCACCTTCATTCCTATCATAGTTGGTCTCTTCCTTCTTCATTCAAACCACTCACCTATGTACAGTGACTTGTAGGTTATCGGTAGGGTATCATTGAGTTCTGCTCCTTGTGCATCCCAATTTTTACTTTTAAACTCCTTGTACACTACCTATGAAATGTGGACCCTAAAGCTTAGTATATGTATACCCTACTAGTAATTTTTGGGCTACTACTAGAGCTTAACCGACTTCATCAAACCTGCATGGATGATTGGGCAACAACAAAATTCACTCTCTACTTTTGGTTACATTGGCCACCTTGAATATCACACTTTATTTTCGGTTACACACGAACTCAAATTATTCGATCCTACATCACTTGAATCCTTCATTCTTTCAGATCCATCTTCGTATAAACGTATGCCATTCAGTCATTTCTATATGTTTCAATCAAACTCATCTATAACAGTTCCATATATGATCTACTTTTAACTAGTGATAAAAGCTTTAATCTGAGAATCGTTCCTTTGATATCTATTGCAACAGCATCCACAGCTCCTAACATTCCAATTGACATGAATATTTCTAGGACAGTAATTAAACTTCAGATAACTGGTTGCATAATGATGCAATATAAATGGAAGTACCATATTATAGGTTCCAGTATCCATGCTTTTAGTATATGTTCCATGCACCTACTCTGTGTACAGCAAATGACAGAATAAATGAGAGAACAGTATCTAAGATATTAGCATCGTCTCCACTACAAAATTAGAATTGTATGAATTCACATGAAAGCTAATAATAATGGTCCCAGACAATTTTAGCACAAATGTATTACTGTCCATATACAGCAATATGTGGGGTATTAGGTACCAAAACTTCGTACTAATCATAAAGGTCCATACCATTTTAGCTCAAAGGTATTACTCTTCACAAAGCAATAAATGGGGTATCAGACTATTAGGCACCAAAATTTGGAGATTATAGACGAGGAGAAAGAAAAACTTTACTCATCTGACACTAAGTGAACGATTATCAAACAAAATACGATTTGAGAAATCCCCAGAGCCCTGACAAAATAACCGCATCAATGGAATGATAATCTTGCCAAAAATACACATTTCATGAATGCTAATGTGCATTTACACTGCTAATTGCCAATTGATGTTTACTCTAGTGCTTTGTAATGAGCAAAAGTTTGATTGGTGAAAGCTAGAGGCTTAACTATTAATATCTGAATGAGCATATTGATTGGAAAAATCAGCATAGAAAAACTAGGTTAGTTCGATGTCTTAACGTTTCCATAAAAAATTAACAACACAAGTTAAGGGGCTAGATGACTGCAACGAAAAGTGACTTCTGCACAAAATACAATATTAAGCATGTGATTTAGATTCAGCTAAGTTATACAGGGATAAGTAACTGATGTTAATGAAAAAAATTACGATAGCAAGCAGTTGAATAAGAAACCAAGCAAATATAAGAGAGTTCAAATATTCATTAGATGATAAGTATTGGATAAAATTGGTATGAACTGGAGCTAATATACATACTAGTTGTAAGGTTGTCCCAGTTATTCACTTTGGTCCATAGTTTTGAGCTTGAATCTACCTGCCAATTTGGAGAACCGATATCAGCATAGAGGAAAGAGCAAATGGTGAGTTTCCAAATTAGTTTTCTGCTGGATGAACAACTTCATACAGGTCTTTTACATTCAGTTCCAAAACCTTAGGTGACTTGTCAAGATAATTACAGAAAACTATTTTTATCTTAAGAAATGTTACTTTCTTTGCAAAACATACTCTTGCATTAGTTAAGGCAATAAACATTAAGTTTGAACAGGGGAAGCCAGACCAGACTACCTTCTCAAGCGTATAGTCCTGCATCTTTTCACAGAGCCCATCCAGGAGATCGACAACTCTTAACTCACTGACTCTGTTTGAGAAAATTGCAGCAGTGTGAAGTTGTCAGCCTCCCATAATACATAAGGATAAAAGAGCTCAACAAGATAAATTCACCCTTTAAAGCATTCTAAATTTCCGATTTCATGAAGTTTACCGACACCAGAATGAAATTGATTTATACTATAATAAATTAGCTCGTAGGCAAATAAAAGGTACATGTATATGCTATGAATTTTCTGAATACGAAACATTAAATATTCCACCACTCACTAATATCACCCC